GGGGGAGGAAAGCAATAATAAAAAAAAAAACAACCCAGCAACTACACATACATATGATGACATTGATTTGTATTTGGTCTTGGTATTGGCCACGGACAAAACGTGTTATTATCGTTGTCGTCGTCGTCATAATCATCATCATTATCATCATCATCATCATCATGGTACATGTATAAGAACTTAGTGAATGAAGAGCTCAGCCCACGTTGCCGTTGATGCAGCCATGAAAAGGAGGATGTCAAACAGAATGTACTTCTAAGAAAAATCCTAGTTCCTACTCGCTGCTTACGAATTGTGTCATTCTTTAGAAATAAATAGTGTAGTCGCAAACTATAGGTGACTGGTGCTTTGGTGTGGTTTGCTCATTCTTTCCTATCAAACATCTATCGTCCTTATCTCTCGCCCCTTTTTTTTTTGGTGTTTGTTTTTCTTTTGTAAAAACCTCCAATCTTCAGCACCTAGTAATACATGTATTAGGATACAATGCCCCAGCAGAATGACGCAGTTACTCGATAAAATGTCTCACGACTCAGTGGAATCAGGCCTTCGTCAATTTTTGGGCACGTGGAGTTATTGATATAATCGTTGTTTATTTGCCTTGCTTTCGATGAAAAGAAAACAATTTATCTTGAATTTCAAGTTGAGATATTTGCAACTGAAGGAGATGGGGGTCGCCTGATTTCAGAAGTAGAATTACCGAGAAAATGGCCACCAAAGTTTGATTATTTCTATAACTTGATAGTCCGTGGGATGTGAAAATGTACATTTTTTTGTGCCTTTAATCCATGTTTTTCCAGTAAAACTCATACATGCGTGCATTCTTAAATGGATATAAAAGGTGAAGAAGCAAAAAACAAAATTTCGATAAAAACTGCCAAAATGTAGGGAAAATGCCAATTTCTTCAACTTCATCATTTTGACAAGCGCCTGACTTCACCACACTGCCTCACAAATGCTCCCCACTCGGGAATCGAACTCACAGTTTTTGCGTGCCAGGGCTGACCCCTTAGTGCTTCATCATGTATAACAGACGACGCCAGTTCCTGATTTGTCACGGTCACCCGTTTGTTCTTTACTTTACTTTTCCTTTTATCCGCCGCTTATACCCTTTTGGGTGTCGCGGAAAGAAATCGCCAGCCGGAGAGCTTGGGTCAGGGGGATGCCGTGAGTTATTAATGCTTCCCTGACTCCATCTATCCAGGTCTTTCTCGGTCGCCGTCTTGCCTTGTTGCCATTGCATTTTTTTATGTTCAAGTTCTTAAAGTAAGTTATTTTTAGTCCAATTTAGTCTTTTTCCCCTTCTATTTATTTCTTCCTAAGATAGCAATTCATTCATTCAAAATCTTTAGGTCGATCCAAATGTCCTTGAATTTGCATTTTTTGTCTCTTAATAATTATTATGATAATAATAATAATAATAATAATAATAATAATAATAATAATAATAATAATAATAATAATAATAGATAGCATTTGTATAGCGCAAATCCCCGCTCGACAGCAAGCTCTATGCGCTTCACAATCTATACTATTACCCCAGCAGACCTGCTGAGAGCTTTCTGAAACAACCTCAACTTCCTGGGAAGCATACAGTGCAAGCAGCCAATAATAGACACTAAAACACCAACACACTGACAAGATCTTTCTCTTCCCAAATGTTTTGTTAGTGGGCTTCCAACTCGGGCTTCTTTCAGCCCCCCCTCCCCCCCCCTCCCTCATTTATTGATTTCTTCTTCGCACTAAGAGTTCACAAAAGTCTCTCACAAAACCACATTTCTGTTGACTGTATTTATTTCCATATATTCCTGTTTCTTCTTCTTTGTTTTCAGGATCTTTAGTATGGGGTCAATGTACTGCATTACAGCGAGAATATCATTGAGCAGTTAACCACACATCGGCTGTTAAAGCATCGGTCTTAGTTTTAGTAAGAGTTTTACGGCACTTGCAACACAATAAGGTCATGTACAAGTGCCGAAGATTAGAGGTGTTACAAGAGAGTAACAAACACAAAAAAGAAAGGAGGAGAGATAAGGAGTATAGATGTTTGATAAGAAAGAAGAAGCAAACCACACCAGAGCACCCGCCAACCACCCACAAGCCTCAGTCTACTTGAGAATGTACTTCAAGAAACTTCAGAATGTTGAACGGCTGAAGGTTGAAGTTTTGAGTTCGGGAGTTTCTGATAATGCAAATGACAAAATTTAAATATTTTGTGTCAGTAACCGTTAGGATTCAGAGCTTGTAAATGGGGTAAGTCGGAATAGTAATACGTCATGTCTATAGTTTCCCATAATTCCCGGCGGTAAGGTAGTATCAGAGAGTTTACTGTAGTATTCCATTATTCATGTGGTGGTAGGGCATGTGTTTTGAGAAAGGAAGTGTCTACGTACTCCCCGATTGGAGTCTACGTAGTCATGGTGTCTACGTGGACCCCAAAAATGTTGGATTGTGATTGGCTCGCTGAGAGAGCGGTAGTTTACATTGGTTACAATGCAAGGGCGGTGTGTCGATCTAGTGTTACTAGATCTAGATCTAGATCTATAATTTATTTATTTTAGCCCAGAGATAGAGTATTTAATGAATAAACGTAGCCAAGAGCGTGCAGTTCGGAAAGTAGATGATTTAAATCTAGTGGTGGCCTAGTGGGCGAATGACCGAAGAGCGACTCTTGACTACTCGCCTGTGAATTGGCGGAGACACACTAGGCCTATCATGCAACTTGATTCACAGGTCTACTATCATAATTATCAACAGTAGGCCTAATTGCATCTGTAGGCATGGAGTCTACTAGTTTCAAACGGCTTCTTTTTCGGTGCACGGTTTCGGCACTCCTGTACAATTGCGGTCCCGTTTGTTTACATGACGGCCATTGTGGGAGTGAATCTAGATTCTAGATTTCTAGATCTAGATATCTTTTTTGTGTAGATAATCTAGATCTAGATTCTAGTCCACCGCCCTTGCATTGTAACCAATGTAAACTACCGCTCGCTCAGCGAGCCAATCACAATCCAACATTTTTGGGGTCCACCTAGACACCATGACTACGTAGACCCCAATTGGGGAGTACGTAGACACTTCCTTTGAGAAAGGTGCTGTGTGGTGCTGTGTGGTGCCGTGTGGTGCTGTGTGGTGCTGTGTGGTGCTGTGTGGTGCTGTGTGGTGCTGTGTGGTGCTGTTTGATGCTGTGTGGTGCTGTGTGTTACCGTGTGGTGCGAAGTGGTGCTGTGTGGTGCCGTGTGGTGCTGTGTGGTGCGGAGTGGTGCTGTGTGGTGCGGTGTGGTGCGGTGTGGTGCTGTGTGGTGCGGTGTGGTGCTGTGTGGTGCGGTGTGGTGCTGTGTGGTGCGGTGTGGTGCGGAGTTGTGCCGATGCCGAGTGTCGGGTGGAGGACTCTAAAAACAGCCGCAGTATCTATTCGGAGACGTCTCCGAGAATACAAAATGCTTTGTGCTTCTAGACCAATTTAAAAAAATATGGGTGGTTACAGGGGGGAATGCCCCATGTTTTAACCCATAATTTGATATTTTGCAGATAGGTTTGAACTTTTGTTGAAAATAATTGATTTCCGACAGTTTTAGTGGCTATATGTGTGATCTGCAGCAAACGATACGAAGTTTGCCCCCCCCCCCAAAGCAGTATATCTGTGTGCGGGAGTACGTCTCCGAATAGTTCCTGGGTGCTCGCCGGAGACGTCTCCGAATATCTTCTGCCAAAAACAGCAGACCAAACACTGGAGTAGCTCTAAGAGACAAATAAATTATCACCACCGTCAACTCCACCACAACAACAGCAACAACAATGACTACAAAACAGCAGCAACAGATGTTGTACCACAGTCGAGCACGCACATACACATTAAGTCAGAAACAACAACAACAACAACAACAACAGGAACATCAACAACAACAACAACAACAGCAATGGTTTCATGTTCAACAAATCCCATTAATTTTTTTCCAAGAGAGAGAGATATATATATATATATATATATATATATATATATATATATATCATCATCATCATCATCATCCGGTGCCTTGCCGACTGACGTGGGCGATCATGGACCTCCACTTCACTCTGTCTTGCGTTGCAGCAATGGTGTCTGTTGTTCGTGCTGCTACTAGCCATGTTGTCATCTTGTCCAGTATCTTTTCCCTCTGTCTGCCTCTGCCTCTCTTTCCATCAAACTTGCCTGTTGTTACAATATTCTCCTATGCTTCTTTCCGCATTGTGTGTCCGAAAAAAATTGCCTGTCGCTTTCTTATATTCGTCATAAGCTTCTATAATTTTCTTCAACCAAGACTTCTTCATTTGTATTTCTAGCTCTCCATGGGATAGGTAGCATGCGTCTTATGAACCACAACTCTGTCGCCACAATTGTTCTTTCCAGGTGTTTATTGATTGTCCACGCTTCGCACCCGTATAATAGGATTGGCTCAATGTAACTTTTCAATACTCTTTTTCTCGTTTCTAGTGACAGATTGATGTTTGTTAGTATCTGTTTCATCTTGTGGAAGTTTGCTTTTGCTTGGCAAATGCGGCTCTTAATTTTGGTTTGACATCTACCATCTGATGATATAATGGTCCCCAAATATTTAAAATATTGTGTTTGCTTGAGGGTGGTATCATTGATTTTGATATTGCATGTTGGGGTTGGAGTTTTTCTGCTTATCACCATTGTTTCGGTTTTCTATATGTTTAGACTTAAGCCCATGTTGTCACTCTCTTGCACGATGACATTTAATAGATTCTGCAGGTGTTCTTCATCTTCTGCTATTAGGACTGTGTCATCTGCATATCTTAGATTGCTTATATTATGTCCCCCTATCGAGATACCAGGCATTTATTCTATGTGTCTCATGATATTTTCACTATACAGGGAGAACAAGTCTGGAGAAAGTACACATCCTTGTCTGACTCCTCTTTTAATCTGTATATATTTGCTGATGTCGTTTTCTATTCTCATTGCAGCAGTTTGATCCCAGTTCATGTTCTTGATGATCCTTAAGTCATTCCCGTCGATATTGAGGACTTCCAGCCTGTCGATGATCTTGTCGTGCTTAACTTTGTCGAATGCCTTGGTGTAGTCTATAATACATAAATGAAGATCTTTCTGAACTTCTAGGGCACGTTCTTTTGTTGTTCTGATGACATATATGGCATTTACAGTGCCTTTGCCTTCAATAAATCCACACTGTTCTAGTGCTATTTCTGGAAGAATTTTATTTCGTATTCTCATCATAATTATTCTGAATAGCATCTTTGTTATGTGGCTTATGAAGCTGATGGTACGATGCTTTTCACATTCGTTTGCATTAGGTTTCTTTGGTAAAGCTGTGAAGATAGATTTTGACAAGTCTGATGGAATATGTCCTATATACTTCTACTCTGCACGATATATATATATATATATATATATACACATATATATATATATATATATATATATATATATATATATATATATATATATATATATATATATATATATATATATATATATATATATATATATATATATGTATATATATCTCCATGTATATTTACAAATCAGAACTTACTAACACACTATAACTATCAATTGAACAAATGAGTCATTAGCAATCGCTTAAACCTATCAAAATTTGCAGTGTCTCTGAGATCCTGAGGCAAGGTGTTCCAGATTTATGGGAGTAAATGACGAAAAGAGCTTGATACTTGAGTTGTTCAATACTTTGGAGCAAGTTCGTGTGATTTGTTTTTTAACGCGATAAAAAATGCAGCTGCATAATAAATAATAATAATATGTAAACGCATGACAAAATGACCCCATGGCGTATTGATAGGGTGAAATCAAACTCAAAGTCTACTGCACCTACCAGATCTCTTTCGTCCTCAATGTCCACATCACTACTGAAGCCCCAGGGGTATAGGAAGAACTGGCCGAACGAGTGGAAGGTGAGATATCCCTTGATGGCGTCCTTGTTGCTTAGCAACAGATCCCGGAGATTCCTGGTCTCTGGCTCGGAGAAGCTGTGTGGTCCAGAGTACGTCCCGCTGCAAGGGTTACTGCTTCCGCCGTACACTGACGTCACGATGTGGGGAGTGGGCGGTGGGGAGTGGGCGGTGGGGAGTCGTGAGTGGGGAGTGGGGAGTGGGAAGTGGGCAGTGGGGAGTGGTCAATGGTCAAGTTTTGGGAGGGGGAGGGGCAAAAAACAAACAAACGGGAAAACGTTTTCGGTAATGACAGCACCTCAATAACTTAACACAGTTTTCATAGTTAAACATATATATATATACCTTTTCACGTTTTATTTTGTAGTGACTCTTATTTCTTTCGGTATGACGTACACTACTTTACTCATTTTTGGCCAATCCGTGCCTTGGCTAAAATGTTCAAAATTTTGGGTTCCAAGGGAGTCCGTTATACAGAGGCGTTACAGTATATGTACATCTAAATATACCGGTAATTAATTTACTTCTTAACCCTATCCGTACGCCCTGGGGTCCTTTTGTAGCCCAGGGGTTGTGTTCTTCACAGTTTAGAATACTTTTAGTAGAAATTGAAACTTTCAGTATTTCTCAAAAAATCATTTTGACAGACTGCTATGCAAAACGTACGATCGGATTAATGAGTAAATTTCCTCTTTGGAAAATGGTGCCACAGAGTTCCCCAGGTCGTATGGATACGATATAAAACTTGACGTACAAATAGGGTTAATACCACGTGCACAATTACTACACAACGTATACAAACCTGTATTATAATATTGATATACATATGTCCATTCTAGACCTGTAGACTACAATAATGGCATACATTTTTTCCAGTAAAGCTATTTTCAAATATAGACAAAGATTTTGTATAACAAGATGGTTCACTCCTCTCTTTGAACCAATTAAAAAAGTGTCCTCAAAATCCGGTTGCGCCCTCTATGAAAAAGCGCCCGCTTTGCAAACATAGTTACATTACTTGTGTGGACAAAAATCAAAGTGAAACTAACAAGTTTTTATATAAATTATAATAAAATTTCGGAAAAATGCCTTTTTAAAAGGTTACTCTGACAAAAATCCTCTTCAGGTTGAAGGGGCGACTGTCTTATTCGTTTAATTTGGCTTTAGAACGAGAGGCGAGAGGTTATTAAAATAAAAATAAAATAACCCCAAAACTCCGCGCTGAGCGAACCGGAACAGCTGATGCGCCAGGGGGGAGGCCCTATTAGTCCTTTTCTGCTTCTGGAGAAACGAAAGAGAGCTTCGCGGAACAAAGACTGTAGCGACATCTGAACCAATGCGCGGACTTCCGTGGACACTTTTTGGGCAGAGTTAACTGTCTCGTTATGTACGATCTTTGATATAGATCGACGTCATTCTCTACATAACACTAAAAAATGTCATTCTGAAGGTCAAGTCTATAAGTCAAGTAATAGACATCAAGACAATCGAGATATAATCAGGAGTCAGAGAAAAAAAAATTCACCCACCCGGGAACTGGAACATAAATTTCCGTGAAAATTATTACAAAACTAAACAAGAACAACAACAACCAAACCACTCTCAGAAATGTGAATTTCAGACAATACACCGCAATATCATAATACAATCACCTAATACAAAAATAGTTTTTTTGGGTGGGTTTTTTTTGTTTGCAAAAGGAAAATTGAGTCATAATAATATCTGCTTCCTGACAGCGTAAAATGAAAATTTTCTTACAGGGACTATCGTTCCATTCGAATCCGAAATTTCGGTTGAGATCAACCCCAACGCATTCTGGGATATCAGAGTATGCTGTACTCCTAGATTTTCTCCATAGTCGACTCTCAATCTGAGGAAGAAAGGAAAGGGACATGTAAGGTTTGACATGAAAGTGGAAATACGATACGATTAGATAAGATAATACTTTATTATCCCAGAGGGAAATTTTTCGTGGCTGTACAGACCGTAAAAGCACATGCAGCTATACATTAAAACAATTAAATTATATATTACTCTCATTAAAATTCAAAATGAAAAGAGAAGTAAAGCTGACAAAATGTGCATTTACATCAAAGGCTTTATAAATCAAGTACGGTATTTAAAGAACGGGTATTCCTGGCATTAACTTTACACATCTTACAGTGAATCTTACCGATCAAGGATACACTAGCTAGCTAGGAACGAGAGAGAGAGAGAGAGAGAGAGAGAGAGAGA